CTTCAATACCCACCCCAAAGTATATTATCGGAAAAGAATCATCCCCGATTAGTTCATTTTATTCTGGTTTTAAATAACGAACTAGATCAAGCTTGTACCTATGCTAAGAAACATGGCGGAAGTTGTCTTGAAAAAACCGGTAGAATTAATGATGAGGAAGTATTTCTCTGGTCTTGCGGGATTCATCAATTCGAATATCCATTTCCGCTAATTGCTAAGAAATTTGAATGGTGTCCTATTTGTCCTCATTTTAAAGAAGAACGCAGATGCCGATATATTTTTGAGGATTTATTAGATAAAAAATTTACACCATGTGCGCCAAAATTTCTAGATGGTTTACGCTTAGATGGATATAATGAAGAATTGAAATTAGCTTGGGAGTATAATGGAGTCCAACACTTTAATCGTAATAGTTTATACCATAGAAAAAATGGAGAAGTAGATTTAATAAGCCAGAAAAATCGAGATCAGAAAAAGCGCGAATTATGTAAAAGAGAAGGTATAGATCTTATTGAGATTCCCTATACGGCTGATTTATATCCCTATATTAAAAACGTTTTAATTGAAAAAGGTTATCTATAATATAAAATATATAACAATTAAAATTACCGTTATTTAGCTTAACTAGAATGAAAGCTATGCAACTTTTTGTATATAACATCGATGAAATTAAAAACGCAGAAAAAAACAACGGACATGAAGCTGGACCTAGATGGCCATTTAAAATGTTAGTTTCAGGGCGAAGTAAAAACTAATATGGTCGTTAATCTCTTACTTGGTGACAAGCTTTATCGAATGTTTACTGGTAAAAAAGGAGGAAGTCGTTATATTCGAAACGATGATCTAATTCTTTTTGGTCATCACCTCAAGGAACCAAAATATTTATATCTACGAGACTGTTATAAAATGATCGCTAATAGTTCAAAACCATATCATGAAAATATTACGTTCCGGACTATGAAACCGGATAAAATTCCAAGTATAGATTCATATTCTCCTGAAAGAAGTACAGTTGCTGTATTTGAAGATGTATGTAGCGAATCTAAAAAGATACAAGAAAAAATCATTCCTTATTTTACTGAAGGACGACATTCTAATATTAGCTCGATTTATATTTCTCAAAGTTTTTTCGATTGTCCATCAATAATAAGAAAAAATTTAGATTATATAGTACTCTTCAATGGTAGTTGTAATATAGATGATCTTACTAGAATTCTTCGTCGTTATATTGATAATTGGCGTAATGTAGTTAAAGTGATTGATAAATTTTTACATGGTCGTAAATTCATAGTCATAGATTTAACAAGAGAAAAAAATGATCCATTTTTTATACGTGCTGGTTGGGATCAACCTCTCGAAGTTTCTAATACATAGGATGAATAAATAAATCTTTAGTTATACTAAAGGCTCTGCTATTGTTTCATATATGCAAGTGCTTTTTCTGCATGTCGTAATTCTAACTTTTTTTCTTCGATTTCACAACGTAATTTATTACTTATATCGTCTCTTTCTTTATAATCTCTATCTAATTCCTGCATAAATTGCCCCAATGTTCTTTCATTAAATTTCAGTAAGTGCTGGAATAAGACTTTAACTTCTTTCTTAACGCGATAATTAATTTCCTCCTCATGATTACATATACAAATCGGTTCAGTATTTTGAGTTTGAGTTTCTTTATTGCCCATTTTTATAGCCTTGTTAACTTCGTTATTATATATACACGATAAATTTTCAAATGAAGGCCAACTTCGACGCTGAAATTTTATTTTTTTCTGGTACCTATTAACTTCATGTCTTAAAAATGCTTCTATTAATGGATTTACAGCACTAGCCTCTTCTTCTGGTATTGGATCCCGCTTTCTGAAAATAAGACGTTTCCAAGTCTCATGCACTAGTGAGGGTGGTAGTTTCTGGATTAATTCTGAATATGCTTGATTAAATTTTGCCGGCATGTTGTAGCTAGTATAATTATATTCAACGTATAGAAAAATGGAAAAATCTTTAAGAAAATTATGAAAATTATGAAAATTATGAAAATAATCCAAAACCGGAGTTTAAATATGGTTGAATCGAGCTAGAGTCGCGCTAGATTTTTTCTATATAATTATATGTAAAATATCATACTTGTGCTAGAGTCGAGCTAGAATCACGCTAAAAATATATTAAATCATTATATTAGTCATACTAGCTCTGCTAAAATATAGTAAATCATAATATTAAATATAGTAAATCATAATATTAAAATATAGTAAATTATCTTTAACTACCGCTAATTCGATTTTTTAGAAAAAAAAGCTATTAATCATCACGAAATAGCAGTGAATAAAAGTCTAAAGTACCAGCCCTCTAGGGATACCTTAGGTGATTTTATTTTAAAATATATATGAATAAGTTATATAATAAATAGATATATTAACCAGATAAATAGATATGTGTATTATACATTACTAACTTGACGCATTTCTTCTCGAACCGCCCATAATAATTTATAATGTTCAGCTAATTGTGAAGCACAGAGACCATTGGGTCTGTACATATATTCCAACCATTTTTGAGATATGATATTTACAGCTCGGATCTTTTTTCCAACTTCTCTTGCACGTTGAATTTTTTTGATAGCATTGGACATCCACAATTCATAACGACGAATCGCATCTTTTTCAAAGTAGGAGTTACTAGCTTCTGATCTACTTTTAAGTTCCATATAGTCTTTATGACTAATATCACAATATGCGTTTCCTGTGCAATTTGTGCTCCAATGTTTATCCATGAAATGACGAAACCCACACTCATAACCACTTCCGATTCTAGAATAAACGAGATTGTTACATGAATAACATATTGCTATACTTACACCTACAGCATGACCAAGATCGCCTTCCCATAAATATTTCATTTTTCTGGCAATAAGATATCGCTTTTTATCGTCAGTCAAACGATTATTATTCTTATAATTCGTCAACTGATCCCAAATTCGTTTTATCCAATCAGATGGAGTTTCACCTTTACGGATTACTGGAAATTGACAGTTATCTCTCCATTCAATATCGCTCAAAACTGGACATTTATCCGTATAGACCATATTTAATGATTAAGATAATGTTAATGTTTTTAGAGATTATGTGATTTATATCGAATTTAAGGATTTAGACCTATTTGATTTAATAACTTTATACTCTAGAATAAGTGGATTCATTTTTGTGTAAATTCTAGTTGAGAAATTTAGTAATACTGATGGAAAAAATCGAAATATATACACATGCATGATTTTTAACAAGAATCTAAACCATGTGTAGTTAATCCAAATTTAGGGATCCCTGCATATAGTCGCACAAGACATCAACTGACCATATTTGCACGATGTAGATGTTCTATGAACTTAGCCAAATTAGTTTGATGACATGAAACCTAGATGTTGCAAAATTTAATAAGTAACAATAGCAGAGCTAGTGTCAGAGACACATATTTTCGGTTTACATGGGAATCTGGTACAAAAAAAAAGATACCAGCCTCAAGGGGTATCGAAACATTAAATAAATAAATAATTGATATGTTATAAATTGCTAACTTGGCGCATTTCTGCTCGAATATTCTGTAAGCACGCATAATGCAAAGCGAGTTCAGTCGCCGTCAATCCATCTGGGCAATAAATCCACTCCACAACCTTCCTTTGTATTTTAATACATGCTCTAATCTTTTTCCCAACTTCTCTTGCACGTTTGATCCGTCTAATTGCATTTGTCATCCATAATTCATAGCGACGTAATGCATAGTTGTCATCATATTTACGTGCGGATTTGGGTTTTTGTATGATTTTTTGGTATTCTCCATAACTCACACCACAGTATTTATTTCCAGTACAATGAGAGGCCCAATGCTTTTCCATTCCAATATGATTATAGTTATTTCCCATATTTATGGTCATTTTCCCAGTATATACTAGTTGATCGCAGGAGAAGCAGATCGCCATTCCAATTGCAGGCGCGTAACTACACCACCTCATATTTAGTTCTGACCACCATTCTTCTAGCTTCCTAGCTTCAAGATATTTTTTGCTTCCTCCAGTAGGTAAAAGGTCGTCATCTCTGAAATACTGAAAGCGAGACCAAATTCGTTCTTTCCACTCACCAGGAGTTTCATTGGTGCGAACTTGAGGCATCTGGCAATATTCAGTCCATTCATCATTACTACATTTAGAACCAGAATGAGCCATTAATTCGCTAAAATTATCCATTTATATGACCTATTTATATAGTATGTTATAAGTGTATATGATTTAACGAGTTATAGTGTATTTAGGATTTTAGACCTATTAATTTTTATCAATTATCTATCTATTAATATCACGATTCATTTTTTGTGCAAATTCTATTTGAATCATTTTATCGTATTTTGTAAGCGATTATGGGGGGTTTGAGCGAATATATTGATAAATGGTAAAAAATCGAGATATTAATATGCAGAGCATAGAGTCTTAGACTCACATATATAGTTGGATGTTCCACAAGACTAATTTGTGATACTGCTAAATTATTTTCTCACTATATTTATAGATTATGGAGTTAATAAAGCCTTTTCCTTATTGTATATAGCTTTACCGATAAGAAAAAATACAAACGAGACTCAAAAAGGATATGAATGAGGAGAGTTTATTGTTCTTTATCAGCAATAATATCAAAATTCATATATTATGGAACTTGAGATCCAAGATCGCCAAAATTTGTCTTATTTTTTATTCTACAAAAGCGATCGTCAGACTGAAAGGTTTAATTTCCCATAAATGATGAAATATAGTCTATGGCTCATATATTTAGTGCTTGGCACTTGTGACCTGACTTGCTTTACGAAGAAAGGATCTGGTAAATGGTTGGGGTAACGTAATTACTAATCATGTAATTTTTTCTTCTAACAGGTTCTTGGGTAACAAATGAACTATGTGGCTTGGCACTAGCTCAGCTATAAATAAACTGGACTTTTGAAGCATCATTTTTTATCTTCCCGCAATTTTATAAGGTATGTACCATCATCCATTATGTATTATTTATAAGTGAATTTTTCAGTATTCACTAGCAAAGTGTAACTACACCTATATAATCAAAATTCTATTTACTATGTGTCTTTATTTTTAGGAAATGCAAAATGTTTAATAATATATTTAATATCAATCTCAATTGTCTTATAATTCCTATTGAGGGCTTCCATGCCTTTCCGAATGATAGAGTTAAATTCACAATTACTATTTCTAATGGATCAGGAGTCAATAAATTACTGGATATGGTTCAGTGTCAGTTAGATTGATTTACTAATGTTTATTACCAGCTTCGTGCATTTTCTTCTGGAGCTATAGGATACAAAACCATGCAAAACCATAGTGAGATTAAATTTTATTTTCCAGGAATTCCCAATTCAAATATTATTCATGTACTCATATACCCAGTATCAGAATCGGAACCAGCACCTGCAATTACATTAAAACCAGAGGATAGCAGAGCTAGTGTCTCTGACACATAAATAGTTAGATTTTTTTTATATTTGTATTTGCATTATTATTATGTAATAGCGAAACGTATTTTTTATTTCGTACAATAAAGCAAGGTTCTATGTAAGCATCTTCTATAACAAACAAAGGTGAAAATTCATTGTAGAGAGTGAACTTTTCATAATATAAATATGAAGATCTAGCTGAACCGAACCGAAACCAAACCGTTCAGAGCTTTGCCTCTTCAAATTCTTCACTACTATAAATAGGAGAACTATATCAGGTGAATTATTAACAAGAGAGTTATGTAGTTCATTCATGAAGAAATCAATAACTAATGGTAAAATTGAAGGAGAGGAATTAATTATTAATTATTTTTTTATGTTTTATTTTTTTTTGATTATTATATACTGTATATTAATATATTTTATTTATTATCGGAAAAAAAAATTTATTTTTTTGTGTTCAATAATAATTTAAAAACCAAAACCAAACCGAAAATTTTCGAATTGGTTTTTTAAAAACCGAAACCAAACCAAACTGAAACTGAACCAAAAATTTCGGTTTAAACTGAACCGTTCAGAGCTTTAGTCCCATTAATCATAAAATCACAAATATGGATATTAAATACCTTAAAACCCTTGCGTTAAATATTCTTAAAAATACCTCTCCAGGAGATATTGCAAATGGAATTGATGTTCCGGAACTGGATTCATGTCCACCATGTAACAATGAATTATTTTTAAGACTAATAAAAAAGCCATTCACAGCTCTACCATGTGGCCATATATTTCATCATACTTGTCTTGAAAACAGTATCAAAAATGGTGTAGAAATTTGTCCTGCCCACGGTTGTTCTAAATTTTTTGAATCGGAGTTGCAAGATGTTGAAATACCAGAAGTACAATCTTTTTCATCCCAAGATAATATGAGTATTGATGGATCATTAGAAAATTATTCTCGACAAAAAAATAACACATTGGAAAATGACCCATCGCATCTAGATACGATCACAGAAGACCCATCTGATGATAATCGTTCACAAAACAAAGAATCCGACGTACCTGAAACATCAACTACAAGTGCTTTGCCATCCAAACACGTTAATAAATCTACCACTGTAGATAAATCATCCAGTAAAAAAGCGAAACTGGTTAAGAAGAAAGAATCACCTACATTAAAAAAAATTATCAAAGAATTATCAGCCGATGCTTCTCAGCAAGTCTCTTCGGGAAATACTATCATCTTACAGTCAGAATCTGCCTCTATAATAAACAAAGACTCAGTTAATTTTCTTGAATTGTATAATATGATTACCTACGCTGAAGAAAATAATCAAAAAACGACCCAAGATGTGATTTGTTGTTATTACAATTTCGGGAAAGGCCTAACACTATGGTTTGATCATTATCGACAATCTAATAATGAGGATGCATCCAATGCCCTTGTTAATAATAAAATTAGGGAACAAACTGTTGATAAAATTACAGAGGTCAATCTTCGAAAAAGAAAGGAAAAGGCTAGGAAAATTTATAAACTTTTTAATAGTGTTGGTGTGGAGTTGATAGGACGAGTTCAATCTTTTTCCGCATCAGCTATTTCAAACTTAAGTCTGAATGATATTGATTATATAATAGCAAAAACTTTGAAAGCAAATCGAAATCTCGTTTAGGGGTTGAGAAATATGTGTTACTGCGCCACTGTGAACTTCGGTTCACACCTATTTATGCAAAAATGATAAAGATTTATAAAAAAAACTTTTGTTGATTTGCATTTTTAGTAAGAATATCCATACCAAGATCTGATGCGTCTGACTTCTTTGATACATCCACTTTGAATATTATCATCACATCGCCATAAACGAAAAAAGTCACATTATTTTTATTGCAGAGAGCATAATGGAATTTCGTAATTATCACGAATGTGACTTAAAATGTCGATCTTTTTTATATTGTGTAATGATAATTTTAAAGTACTTTTCAATTGGACGTTTGACCTTAATGTGACGTAAATACTTTTTATCAAAATTGTCAAACCAACTTTATAGCCGTATTCTTCATATTTTTTTATATTACCAACTTTCTTCCATCATTTTCCATCACTTTCCTGGAGGAGTTAGCTAAGAACCAAAGTTTATAAGAAAGTAATAGTTAAAGAATATATAATACTGGTATACATTAATTTTGGTGACTCTTAACCCATTATAATATTTGTTTTTTATCATATTATTCAGCAAGGTATTTGTTTCATTAATATTGATATTAATATTAAAATATTTATTGTTTTTATTATTTTTGAAATCAATACATTCAAGATCAATAAATTTAATAAATTTATTTATTATATATAGTTATTATAGGGACGCGTTTTACGATTTTACACATATCAATTACTCTTTTCAAATCATTGGGTAATAAGTGAGAGTGTTTTGCTTGAGAGAGGGACACTCTAAAACACATAACAATATTTGCATCTTACATATATATATATAACACAAGACAAGATTGATTCATGAAAATGTTTGGATATAAAAAAAAGGAAAGAAAAAATATTATTCATGTTTGGTTAATAAAATCCTCACAAATAAATATTATAAGCAATATGTTTCACTAATTGAGTACAATTTATATTTTAACATTAAATATTTTTTCAAGGTCAACATTTTCAAACTCCAAATTTACTACTTCTTCACTTTATCAATTAAGACTAAGGTTAATTCTTTATTTAAATACTATTATAAATTAATTTTTAATGAATAAATGATATCACTAATTATAATTTATGACATTTATTGGTAGTGATAATATCACCAATTTATTAGATTGTCTATTGCTATTTGTAATTCATCCAAAGTATTGTGAGAATTATCAGAGCCAATATTTGAGTTATTGTCATCATCATCATCATCATCATCATTCTCATCCTGCAGGTTATCAATTTCTATATCTTCTGTAATTGTGTTCTTGTTTTTATTTAAATTTTTTACAAACTTTTTAACATTTTCATCAATTCCTTTTTTATAATAATTTTCACAGTATCTACAGACTCTTCCTAATGTGTTATAACATGCTAAATGATAACCATGTCCACAAATTAAAATTATTACGTCATCAACATTATCAGAAAATGCATCTTTACAATGATCACAAATATTAAGAGATGGTATACATGATGTATGATAACCAGTTGGTAAGCATTTTATATCCACAATGCAATTAAGTGAAGCTAAATAATATGGAGGTGATTTTTTTGAAAAGGGTGGATTAACTTGATCAGGTTGAAGCATATAACTTTTGCCAATATTTTTATAAATTTCTTGGAAATAAGATAATAAAAATATACTGGTTTTTTTAACAAGAAATTCCAGCTGATTAGGCTTATATGGGTAAATATATGGTTTTTTAAAGGTATCAACAAAAACTGATTTATGGGAATCTAAAGAAGTTCATTAAAAAATTAGTATGTTCATTTTCTTAATGTTTGTATATTATATATATATATATTTGAACTTACCAATTACTAATGCCTGATTAATAATTGATTCTGGATTTTGATTTACATTAATATTAGCACGTAACCTGCTGTGAAAATTTTCAACATAATATTCATTGAAATTAACAAGATGATTCTCCAACACATTTGCAAAAGGATGTTGATTTTCTTTCCAGTATATATAATCTGAAATAAATGCCAGTATAATCTTATTATAATTTTTTCTTTTCCACCTAAGAGCAAAAGTCCAGATTCTAAATAATGTTTCTAAATATTCTTCAAATTTACCAGAACGAAAAAAAAAATCGCATAAATATCTAGAGTTGCAGGGATTATATTATCTAAAAGGTCAAGTGCCATTCTATATTCCACATCTTTGCTATTTCCAAATTTATGCATAATAATTTTGGAGATTTTTTTCCAGCCCTTAGTAACTAATTCCAATAACAAATTGATTCTCCATGGCTTAGGTTTTTTTGCTAATACTTTGGAATTACCAAAAACATAATGGAACATTTTTTCAAAAAAATTATAATGGACAAGCAATGTTTGCTCACGTGAATTTAAAGAGACACATCTTTGCTATTTCCAAATTTATACATAATAATTTTGGAGATTTTTTTCCAGCCCTTAGTAACTAATTCCAATAACAAATTGATTCTCCATGGCTTAGGTTTTTTTGCTAATACTTTGGAATTACCAAAAACATAATGGAACATTTTTTCAAAAAAATTATAATGGACAAGCAATGTTTGCTCACGTGAATTTAAAGAGACAATGGGTGCATAAACAAAATTCAAAGTTCACCTTCATTTCTGCTAGAGTTTTTATTTGTAAATTCGTAATGCAAATTCTTATTCGAATTATTCATAATATACAATTATCTTATTTTGAATTATTCTTTTTTATTTTGAATTATCCCGTTTTTATTTTATTCGAATTACGGTATTCGTTTTTATTTTGATTTCATTTTATTTCGAGTCATTCATTTTATCTTGAATCATTCATTTTTATTTCGAATCATTCATTTTATTTTGAACCATTCGTTTTTATTTCGAATCATTTGTTTTATTTCGAATCATTTGTTTTATTTTATTTGAGTCATTTGTTTTATTCAAATTATTCGTTTTATTCAAATAGAAACCCTAGTTCTGGTCAAGTGCAAGGGTTTCTTTCCAGCTGCACATGTACTATTATTGCAGGTAAGTTCTGGCCAAGTGTATCATTTTTCTTTCCAGCTTCATATGCTCTAAAAAAAAAATAGAAATATACTACTTGAGGCATCACTACAAGCAATATAGTAAAATCAAAAAGGGTTCCCAACTAATAGTTAAAGGTTGGCCAAACCATTAATCATCAGAAAGGATTATGAATCAACTAGCTTTATTAATTAATTACAGTTTTTATTAAAAAATTGAAGGAAATTTTTAAGTGTATTTATACATGACTTTTTACATGATTTTGTCCAATAAATAAAATGATTAATAATGAATGACTAATAATGAATGACTAATAATGAATGCCAAAATGCATCATTGATGTTGTCATGATATAAAATGCAACAATTGGGATCCAAGTTGGTCCTCAGTTTACTATTACTATCTTGCATGGCATTTTCTTGATTTATTTGGGTCATGTACTGTATATTATCATTTTGCATATTCTCCCAAGCAAGCTGTGTTAAAGTCAGTTTTCTCTTTTGAAATTTTCTCTAACATTAGGAAGTTTTTTCCTACATAGGATTTACATTCAAACCTCATCACAACACAGTGGATTTCTTGTTAACGGATTTTATTAATAAATTTGTTCCTGTTATTTCACAAAAACAAATAGAACATCCTCATGTATTCAGCTGCAGCTTTAAAATATTTTATGTGCTTTACAAAATGTTTCTCTATCGACTTTTGGTGGTTCTTCATCATCATTTTCCCGTGGTTTAGATATATCTTCTTTACCACTATGAAATATTACCTTCTATTACTATCTACAAGTTTTTCTTTCTTACGGTTTCCATTTTTATTTATAATTGGATTATGTCAAATGTTTTTTTGCTATATTAATATAGAAAGAGCAATTCGGGAGTGGATTGACAAAGAGAAGAAAAAATGATGTAAAGTGATGATGATGAAAAAGAAGTTCATGATGTTAACAATAATATTATCATTTGGAAATAATGATAGAGTGACCAAATACTCATCAATGGCTTTGATCCAAGTATTTTCTTCACATTCAATTACTCTGGTGATTTTTATCTTGTATTTAATATTTTATACATATGTATCTATGTATTATTGGTCGAATCAGAATAAAAACACAATCTATCTTTTATCCTTTCCTCAAATATGGATACCTTTCCCTTCACTATTGTGTCATGTCTACATTTGACATTATTATTCATAATAAATGATTGCCAAGTAACAACAAAACCACGCAGAAATGAAAATCCAATCAACTTTGAAAGCCATATAATGTCCTGGAAGATATTTTTGTTGTATCCTCATTTCCATGAGTTCTACCCATTGGTCTTGTATAAAGCTCTGAACAAGCTGTAAAGATATTAAGTTAGCTCCAACTCAACTCATTCGGAGCTTTAAGTCTAACTCTTAGTGGCTAGACACATGGGCTTTCCAATAGAAATGCGTGAAACTCAAAATTATTTAACTTTATTATTATTTGCTAGGAATTAGCATGACTAATATCATGTTTAAAACATTACCTTATGGATAAGACATAAAGTTGTAATTACACCAGAGACATACATTTATGTGTAAAGCATAAAATAGTGTTGATGTTGAAACCATTTAATTGTATATAAGAAGCTTAAATTCGATGTACTTTAAACATAACTTTGCGATAAAGTTTTAATAAATTTAACTTGGTAATAAATAAAGTTTAATAAATATTAGAAGCAAGTTAATAAATAGTTTCGACTAAATAAATTTTCTTTCAATTAAATACGCTCTCCCCAATAATAATTGGTAAAAAAAAACTCTATACCAATATTAATGCTGTTTGTGCTATAGAGATTTTTATGTCAGGTGAAATGAAAAAAAATCAGGGCAACAAAAAAAGGTCATTAATCCTCAGAATGGCAAATATAAAATGCCTAGAGTATTAACCCTTAACACCTCACTCATAAAAAGATAAGGTATTATGTATATAGGCGAAACGTTATTTATCTTTGTGAATTACTAGAACTTATTTTTTGTATCTGCAATAATACTAATTTGATTAATTTGGTCTTAAATTTGGTTACAAAGCATTAGCATTGTATCTTCTTGCGCCAATCAAAATTTGAATCATAAATTTTAAATTTCTTAATGACCCAAAGAAATATTCCAAGAAATTGAAACACAAAAGATATCGGATGCTTGTAAAGCTCCATTTAAATATGACTCTGAATGGTATCATCCTCCTGATTATTTATTATCAGGTGACCTGAAAAATTTTATATATAGGACTTTTTCTGTGATTAGCCGACACATAATAGTCACAGGACATTGCAAATCAAATGTCATTCAATATAAACGTTACACAAATAAAATTATTATCGTTCACTTCAAAAAAAAAAATCTCCGTTTTTCATATAGTGTGAGATCAAAATTCCGCGTCTCATACAAATCTCTTGGATTTAGTTATAATATTATTTATCCCTTCCTATGGCAGTATCCAGTTGTGTAATTCTTTGATTACTTTCTTTTCTGTATAGCGCTCAAGCTATTTAACTCTTTGCAGGGCAAGTTTTCTTACCTCCCATCCGGTAACGTTTTCTCAGCAGTTGCTATGTTTTCTGCCTGAGCCGGAACATATCAATTATTATCCCTTCTGATAATAATCCCAGTATCTTCCTTGATACCATTGTGTTATGTTTTAATGGTTCAGTGTTTCTTTACTGACCACACCTAGCTAGGGTTTTCACTTATTTAGGTGTTGGCCTAATCTAAAATAAAAATAAAGAAAATAAGATTAAAGAAATATATACAACTATACTTATCAAAGGCATCCCCCAGGTAAGATAGTAATTAATTATTAATTACGAAAATGTAATTTTCAAAGATAACAAGGTCAAGGTCAAGGTCAAGGTTTATTTATAATAATATTTGAGTTTACTAAAAAAAACTAATAAAAACTAATAAACTAATAATTACATGAAAGAGAAATTTACAACGTATTTATACATTTTAGAGGTTCTATCATCTAGTTCTCCGATTTCTTTAAAATCCTAAATTATACTAATTAATGTATTCTTTAATCATTATTTAAACCTTCCATGTAGAATTATTTTCAAGTAATTTCTAGTCAACATGAGTCATGTAAAATTCTTTCGTTTAAATATTATTCTGAGACTTTGTAATTCGTTACATTTTAGAATGTTGGAATATTTATATTTCCAATATTTCCGTGAGTCAATTATTTTATTGGTGTTTGAATAAATTGAACTGTTTTGATCACTTGATCAGTTTTTCTGATTTTATTTGCGTGTAACTTTTTGTAAATCATTTCCGATTTATATGTTCGTTTCCCATGATTTATAATTTACTATTTTACAATGGCTATATGGCAATTTAAGTACTGAGCGTGTTGAATCATTAGCCAAAATTCATGGTTATTATGTTTCAAATTGCAAGGAAGAATTAAAATTAGCAGGAGAAAATATTTCTGAAAATGAAATATTGGATACTTTTTTGGCAGCTCAAGATGATAATGAGGATGATGATGAGGATGATGATGATATAGAAGAGTCTTCATTAGAAGAGGAAAATAATGATATAAATGCTAATGAGGGACTTCCAGAGCCTTACATTTTAATTATTCAAAATACAATGGATTTATCTCATTCTAATTTTCAAGATCTAGATGATAATGATGAAAATAGATCTGAGTATTTATCTGATGAAGAAAATGTATTAGCTAATGACGAGTATTATGAAGAGGAGGAAGAATATAATTCAAATGAATTGGCATCATAATTTATGACAGCATTACATAATTCATAATTCCAATTTGTAAAAAAAAATTTTTTTATTGTACATGTTAGAAAGATTTTTTTGATTTTCAGTTGTTTTGGAAATATTTTTTATAATAAAATTATTTTAATTAATATATGTAAAAGTTTTGTTATTTATGAATTTTTTAATCATAGGTTTAACAGTTTAGGAATTTCGCCCATGGTTTAGGAGTTTCGCCCATGGTTTAGGAGTTTTGCCCACGGTTTAGGATTTCGCCCACAGTTTAGGCAATTTTTGAGTTTCGCCACTAGTTTAGGAGCCTAAACTCCCAATGTCTGTGGGCGAAACTATTTCGGATTTTCTAAAATAATTTTGGCCACCATCATTAGTCTGAGAAAGATGTATGATCATTTCTAGGATTAGCATCATACTACCAAGAATTTATACCAAACTTCTCAAAAAAAGCTGGACCAATGTTCCACTTAATTCACAAAGATACTGAATTCAAATGGGATGAAGATTGTGAAAAAGCATTTCAAAAGCTGAAGAAGCTATTGACGAGTTCACCAATCTTAAGACATCCAAAATTCGACAAGCCGTTTATACTTTACACAGATGGTTCCTCATTCGGTTTAGGAGCTGTCTTAGCACAAAAAGATGAAGATGGAAAAGAAGGAGTTATTGCCTATGCCAGTAAAACAATTGTAGGAGCACAAGAAAGATACTCAGTGACAGAGTTAGAACTATTAGCTGTCAAATGGGCAGTAGGACAATTTCATGTATATTTGCTTGGAAAACTTTTTACCATAATAACAGATCACCAACCACTTAAATATCAGTTCAGTAACCTTCAGTTAAATACACGAATGCAAAAATGATTAATACATTTACAACAATATAACTTCAAAATTGAATATAGTCCAGGAAGTGCACAAAAGCATGTTGATCACCTTTCTAGACCAACAAGTCTATAAACTGTATAGTTAATTAAGAGAGTCTTAAAGTAAAACCAATCAGCACCAATGGACATTCAATTATATGAAGCAATTCAACATTATCTTATTAACCATAAATTACCAACCTATACACCAAAAGATATCAAGCAAGCAATTAGCATTAAGAAAAATACATGAATTCATGTTGAAAAATAATCAATTATATTGGAGAAAAGAAGGCATAGAGCGAAAAGTAGTACAACAGCATGAAATGGAAGAAATATTATTTAATTTACATGGAAGTCAATTAGGAGGACACTTCAATATTGAAGCAACCTTCAATAAGGCCAAATGAAATTACTATTGGCCAAGAATGTATAGAGAAGTAGAAAATTAAGTTAGAAGTTGTGACACTTGTCAACAACTTAGAAATAGAAAGAAAATAGAACAATTACATCCAATTGAAGTAGGAAAAGTCTTTGATTGTGTGGGAATTGATATTGTGGGACCATTACCTATAACATCAAGTAAAATCATTATATAATTGTAGCAACAGAATACTTAACAAAATGGCCAGAAGCAAGGGCCATAAAAGACATACAAGCAAACACAGTTGCTCAATTTATATATGAAGACATAATTTGTAGACATGGAACACCAAAAGTATTATTGTCTGATAGAGGGACATCATTTGTGAATAGTGTTGTTAGAGCATTGTGTGAAACAATGAAAACGGCTCACATTCTCACAGAAAGATTTAACAAAACGTTGTGTGAAACACTGGCAAAATATGTAATACAAAATGGAAATTTTGAATGGGATCAATTTGTACCATCTGCATTATTTGCATATCAAACAAAAATTCAAAAATCAACCAAGCTCTCACCGTTCTTCCTTTTATATGGAAGGAATGAAGAAACACCCTTGACAAGAAAGAGTAACCCTGAAGAAGATGATTTTGAATGGGACCTAGAGGAACACATAAAATTAATTACCAAATGGTTATACCACATGCATATGATTGCCAAACAAAATATAAATAAAGCACAAACAGATCAGAAGGACAGATATGATAAGAAAATAAAACTGTACAATTCAAGATAGGAGAACAAGTATTATTACAAGAAAGTCACCATGAAAATGTACATGGAGACAAGTTTAGAGAAAAATGGTCAGGGCCTTATCTTATTCACCAAGTTTGGAAAAATGGAGCTTACAAGTTACATGAGACTGAAACAACAAAAATCTTGTGAACACCAATAAATGGAAATAAATTAAAGAAATACTATGACAGACCAGCCTGGTAACCAACCATATGGATAAATTAAAAATAGATATCATTTCAAGACGAAACACAGATAAGAAAAGAATATGAAGACAGAAAACAAATAATGTCAGAAGATGACAACAAATAAAGCCACATAAACAAAAATTTCATTCAGAGAATGAGATAAGACAATATTCGTAAAACATTAGTCATGATGACAAAATGTTGACTCATCAGAAGATAAGAGATTGTAACAAAACAAAGGGTCAGAGGGAATAAACAGAGCAACAAGATGAGAAGGAAGCATGAAAAATTAATTAGTGAAGAAATTCTTATAAAAAGACAGAGATTCTGACCAAGAGACAAAATAACTTTTCGGTTAACAATTAAATAATTAAATGCCTAAAACCCCAAAACAAATAATACCTAACAAAGAAAAAAACTTTATATATCATATGCAAAGTCTGAAGAAGACTCACTGCAACAAAACAATCAATAATTATAATTATAATCAACCATCAACAGAAATACTTTCAAATCGACCAATTAATCATTGGACAGAGGACAAGGATAATAATAAGTGGGAATATTTCGAATTCTTCACAACTCAACTAACAATATTGTTCAACGAATTTCAGAGGACACAAAATTGGTATTATTGGAACCAATTTCAAAGGAATCACCATCTTTTAAAGAATTTAGTTCATAATTCAATAAACCTAACATATTACAGTCCACAAGAGGCCAGGTTATTGAATGACATTGCAAAAAAAGGGAACACCCAAGAAACACAAACAGGAAAAGAAACCCAAACAAACAACTAATAAACAAAAACTCGAACTTCAACAATTAAATATTAGGATTAGGAATTTGACTAAAGCATATTTGTTACATAGACAACCAACTCAATTCATCCTATTGGAAAAATATTGTTTGCAATGGAAACAACTTAGACAACAATATTGGAAATCAAGATGAATCCTGATAATTAAGTTCTTGTCAAAAAAGGTATTGGCTGAAAAGCCAGGACCCAGAAGACAAATACTGTGTGAATTTCTAATAGAAGAAATAAATCAAACACTAGGTGTTCCAGAGGCAATTGAACCATCTTTTACCAGTACAACAACACCAATAACGGATCAACAAACAGGA